ACACTACAAATAATAATAATAATAATTGAGATAAAAATCTGTGTCTCACAGTAAATCTCAATATTTTGTTTATAATAACATGCCAACATTGTTAATACTGTTGTATAATATGGGTGGTTTTGCCCTATAGAAAATTAGCTGTGTAGTTTGAGTAAAGCGAGATACATATTAACTCATTAATTTGAGCGAGGAAAAATATGCTCATACTCATATATAATATTAGTGGTGATTGTACTTGATGAATAATATTCGTTGAGTCTTCAGTGAATAATTAATATATGATCAATACTTGCCGAACTCTAATTTAATTAACGTTACCCATTAATTCACTTTCATCTAATCAATATAATTGAAGAAAAATGATGAGGGAAAAAAATTCCACTGCTTAAAGGGAGTCAAGTTATTAATATTTAATATTGAAATACCTACGGCTACAACTGAGCGAGAAGACAAGGTCATCAAAAGTCTAACTCGGAGTTGTAAAAGATACATAAGAAATTAAATTCAAGACAGCGGAAGAGACACAACAGTTGAGCGACAATGCGAAATTGGATTTTGGAAAGGATCTATACAGAACATAAATATGGAGTGTGTTTGTTTAGAAGATGGATATTTGCAATTGATCATTTTTACTAAAACTGTGTTAGTTCTTTCGTCTTTGTTTTTTCCCAAGTAGGAACTTGTAATTAATTCATTTGCTGCTACAGTCTGTGTACTTGTCACCATTGCCATCAATGCATAGCATTGATAATTATGAGGAATGTTCGTTCTTTCACCAACTATAACAGTTTCCTGGTGGAAGTTGGTGTATGAATTTCTATTTACTTTGGATATTTGAATGATGAGTTCACATTCCGATTTTTGTTATTCTAGTATTGTTTTTTTTTACCTGTTGTATGTAAACATGATGGCTATTGATGGTAATCTCTGGTTATCCAATCTCGTGCCAACTTCCTCGATCTATATCCATTTGGTTTGCGACTCTTGATTGTAGTATATGAGTGTTTGATTGATTGTTATAAGAAAAAACTCCTGTTTGCATAACATAGATGTTTTATGTTGATATGTCAGCTGAAGCTCGCCTTTGAAACACATTCTGCTGCGTGTTTGTTCTTTATCAAGTGTTGTTAGAAGAGCCATGAATACAGAAGAATGAGTTAAAAATTATAGTCCGTGAAGCAATTTATCTCCATGTTAGAAATGTCAATTAAATAATCAACATTCAAAAATCGTTTATTGATTCAAAAACCATTTTTTTTATTTAACACAAAAAAAATTTGTTTTATAAAACAGGTTGCAATTGCATTGAAATTGAGTTGCGTTGAAATTGAGTTGCGTTGAATTGAATTGCAAAGCAATGCGTTGCAATTTTTATTGCGAAAAAAAAAAAATACAAAGAATAATAAAAATTATTCAGTGTCACAACTCTCATCACCGTCGCCGTTTACCACTCATCATTTTCAATGTTGTATGAATTTTCTACTGCATCCGTATAACCTTTATTGTTGCTGACAACTTCGTTCATTGT